AGTCGCATTGTCTGGGAGTTTCAAATTTTAGGTCCCGCTAATAGGACATTAGTATCAGTTACTTATCTTTGCTTATCTGGGCCTCAAAAAGTCACGTGGACTCCTTCCATATCGGGCGCCACTGTAAGGCGTTTCATGCTTGGCAGCGCTTCCAGTGATTTGGCAGTTCTTGCATGGAGACTTGGGCCCCCTCTCTGCACAATGACATGCAAGGCACCCTCCAGACGTTGCTTGCCCGGTACCCTGATTTGGTACCCAATGTCCCGCCAGGCAATGGACCACCCACATGGGCAGGCAAGACTGTCAATACCTCTGCCCAATCAAGACATGTGGTGACAGTTCCTCACAGGGACTATGCCAATCTGGCATGGGGCTGGTGTCTCATTGTGGCCTTAGGTGATTTTGACCCCAGGAAGGGTGGCCAACTGGTTCTATGGGTCCTCAAGTTGGTTATCAACTTTCCCTCTGGTTCCAGCATCCTAATCCCATCTTCTCTCTTACTGCACTCCAACACAGTCATACAGGATGGAGAAGACAGGAGATCCATCACCTGTTATTCTGCTGGTGCCCTGCATCGTTGGGTAGATCAGGGGATGCAAACCAAGGTCAAATTTCAAGCTAGCATGGATGGGGAAAAACTAGAGGAGTTCAGGCAGTCTGAACTGCAGTGATTTGTGAACAAAGGGTTGTCTAGCTTCTCATGCTTGAAGGACCTTCAGAAGATGTAATTACTTTACTCCTACTAAATGGACTTGACGTGGTCCTGCCAGTTCAACAGAGAGCCAGATAGTACCACCATCTCCATTGCATACATCAACCCATCACAGACAGATGCCTGGACAGGACTGATGATATCCCATGACAGACTTACCATGATGATGAACAAGGACCACTGTGGCTAGCCTGAGGCAAGGCTACAACAGAACTACAGAAGCAAACTAAGCACTGTAGTAACAGAGGACTTACAACAGATCTCTTCAGAGCTGAGAGGGAAGACTCAGAGGCGTAAGATGAGAGGAGAGACTGTTACATTCTAGGGTGTATCCAGCCCGGTATATATACACATGAGAGAGCCATCACATGATCGTACAGTAAGCGTAACAGTGTAGAGTCATAACGGAGCAATATGGTGCAATGAGCAAATACACAAGGATGAGGTGATATTGCACCATGAATGGAATGTCATGGAAAGGACTGGAACAGCGATGTGCTCAATGATGCAATACAATGCAATCAAGGAATGTGGTGGAACATGCTGGAAAGCGGTGGAATGTTCCAAGGTCTAGATCTAATCATGTGCTACAGGTCTGGATCAAATCCAAAAAGAATGTAGCATAGTAGAACATAAGTCCATAACGGGTAAGGATAAGTCCTGTCCCGTGTGATAACACCTGAAACAGTCAAAGTTCAACACTCCCACTTGTATGTGCTTGGTGTTCCTCGCAGCTCATGCAGATGGGTCAATATGCAATACATGCATTGCGCGCGAATTAGCAATGACATACAATACATCAATGTAGCCATCCAGTCTTGGTGAGATATACGAAAGCAAAAGAGGGTGATGGGCGACAGCCCGCACCCGAAGGGCGCGCTGGCTCTCCGATGCAAGTCCAGGTGTATCCGTTCTGTCAATGTCCGAGTCAGCCGCGAGGGCGGGATGGGCAATTGAAGGGTGAGGTGCAGTGGGAAAAGGAAACGGAAACACAAAACGAGCGACACGTGTACTGTACTGTGGGGGTAATGAAGGTGATCATATTATTCTGAAAATGTAAGTGTCATTATCTGCAGTTGGCTTGCAGCTGGCTTAGGGCTAACCATGCAAATAATCATGTACAAGATAATCACTCAATTAGTCAATCAGTTACATCACACTTGACACAGCGTACTTGTTACGATTGGATCTGAATACCTAAGATATTCATACACAACACATCACATTGAGCCTTCTTGACCCTATTTCTTGACTCTATTCTGAATCAGTGCTCAAGCATCATCAGCTCCATTGAGACACAATCATTTGGTGCAGTCAGTACACATAAAGTCCCATTTGAAGGTTGCGCATATCTGCCATACCAAACAATGTTGAGACCCAGATGTTCAAAACATGAATTGTGCTCATCCAAAGTCTTGATATCTCAAATGAATGCCATGAGAGTCTGACTCTGCAGGCAGAATGCTTCCCAAGTGAAGTCTCAGCTCTTGTGATTCCCAAGGTCCTCAAACTCCTTGAGACTTGCAATTGCTGCAGTGCCAGCAAGAGCTATTAACACATCTGAGGTGCTGTTGGTAAAAAGATGCTGGTGGGTAGAGTACAGTCCACCAGGGCACTGGAAGATGACTGAATTGTGCAACATCAATCATAGAGGTGTGCTTGCTTTGAAGTCAATATTGTAAGGTTGTAGTCCAGGAACAAGGACAGGGAGAAGCATGATTGTCTTGTTTATTTTGGCCACATTCATGCAGCAAACCATTACTTGTCAGGATCTATAGTTGTTTTGTCAAGCTCTTGTTCATGCAGCTGAGTGAGCATGGCAGCTAACTTGTTGACCTGTGTAGAATCTGGGAATGGTATGGTGAGTGTTATGTACTCCTCAAGCAGACACTTGGCAACCTGTGAGTATGCTTGATGGCAAGCCTTTGTGTCCTCTGGAGTAAGGTCCTGCAAAGTTGGCTGGGCTGGTGCTGCTTGAATACTCTGCATTAAGCCACCATACATAGCCTCCCACTCAGCTGGAGGACCCCATGAGCCTCCATGAAACAGTGAGTACTATATGTAATGAAATGAGGAAAGTAATGACTTACTTGTTGATGGTGCCCAGGTAGCCTGTGACCACACCTGATGTGTCTGCACAATATTTGAACTGATGGATCTCATGTTCACAACACTAGGTACCTCTCCTAGTACTTCTGGCAGGGCAGGACAAAAGGGTTGCAGTGATGATGATGATAACTGATGGCTGCATGCTACTGATGTTTCCAGAAGTAGTAGAGGGAGTTGGATAGGGGTGTGCCACCTGCAGCAGCTCTGGGTCAATAGCACTCTGGGCCAATGTTTGACAGGCCCGCATGTAGGACCCTCAGGCTGATCAGGATGTACTATTACAGAGCCAGGCTCTGGGTAGGGAATATATGGATGTGGGGCCTCTTGAGCTTGAAAGGACATGGACACTTGAGAACCTGAGGCCTGCTGAGCCTCATATAAGCTATCTGTTGGAGTCTGGGCTTAGGTTAGTAGAATATGTACTTCTTAGTAATCAGTTAACTTGAAGTCAGAGCAACAGAGTAGAGAATGTATCCTTTGCTACAGAGGAGTAGTAACAAAGTTGAAGTGTTTGTTGCAAAGATTACCAAAGTAGACAATACTCAGTAAATAGAGATGAACTGTCAGTGGTGCTGAGTCCAGTAGAGTGATTACTAAAATGTCGGTAATAAAAGATTGCCAATGATAAAGCAATGTTAGAACATCAATCAATGAGATGAACCTAATCCAATGAACCCAACTCTTGTAGTCAGTTGAAGTTACTTAAACCTTACTAGTAGTGTGAGGTCTGTACTAAGTAAGGTCTCAAAGTCACAGGGAAGTCACCAAAGGAAAGTGCTGACCATTGCAGAGTTGAGGAATCACAAGCTAGTGAATTGAGGCAAGGGGGGATATGTTATGGGAATATCTCCAAATGCCAAGTTTGCCTTATATGCCTCAACTCATGAGCTATTGTTAGAGCTCCACTATCATTGGTAAGAGTCCATTAAATAAGTACAATGCAATTACTGTCAATTGGTTGAGAGCATGTTTCAGCAATACCCAGTAATCTACACTCTTTACTGAAATTCACCTTGTGTGCCACACAAAGACTTGCTTTGCCCCAAGTGCTAAGTTAGCCACTTGACCACTGTCACTGAGTTCTTACCAACGCACTCTAAGACCTGTGATTGTGAGACCTTACTTAGTACAGTCCTTGTGCTACTAGTAAGGTCTAAGTAACTTCAACTGACTACAAGACTCGGCTTCATTGGAGAAGGTTCTACGTATTAACTAATGTTCTAACATTGCTTCTCTGTCGGCAAACTTTATTACCGACACTTTGGTAATTGCTCTACTGGACTTAGTTAGACATTACCAACAGTTCATCTCTAGTTAGAGTGTTGCATACTTCAGTAATCTCATTAATCAAACAATCCAGTTTGTTTACTAATCCTCTGTAACAAAGGAGTCATCCTCTACTCTATTGCTCCTACTTCAAGTAACCAGTTACTTCGAAGTAAGTATTATACTAATCCTAACCCAGAGCACCATATCAACAGAGGCCTTTGTGTGATTTTTTATTTTGTGATTTGTGCCCCAAGTACTGAAGTCAGTGAGAAGGTGATACTAGCAATAGACTCTATAGTAAGAGGGCTACAAGCCAGGATATGTTGAGGATTTTATGGATTTTATTGGCCTATAGTAGCACATGCACAGTACTACTGATGGCCTTGTGGTTTGAAGACTCATGGCAAAGGACACATTGACAAAGGTGATTTTACAATGAAGCAAGAAGTGCTTTGCACAATGACACCAATATGTAAAGCTGAAAGAATGAGGGTCTGCGAAGATGTGGTGGCCACAGTTGTGTAGCGAGCGCTTAAAGTTGAACATTGCGCCAGCCACTGTTCTCGAGGCCAGAACGTCAAAACATCGTACAACACAGGTCAAAATAGCGCACACAGAGGTGTATTTTGGCATTGCGAGAATTATGGTGATTTTTCTGAGATTATCGGAGTATGTTTGAATGTGTTTAAGGGCGGGTTTTACAGCCATTGCATGGAATAATCATCTGTGTTACGTGGAATTTGTACTTGTTTGGTCCCGGGCTGCACCCCCTAGACAATGTATGCTCGCTCCGCTCACAATAAAAGCATAGAATGATAAAATCCAGCCATGTCCGAGGAATGTTCAAAGCCCGTGTCTGCCACATGGCCGGCTGCAGCGCTGAACTGTCTTTGCGATGCAAGACCAGGATTCAAGTGTATGTGAACTTGTGGGCAGCCAAGCGATGTTGTAGCCAGAAAACCCATCTAGGGAGCCAACCTGTATGCAGATGAGTGTTAGGCTGCCAAGACGCACAAAGAGCGTTGACTTGCTCATTGCCAGTCTGTGGCCCTGGGTTCAAATGAAGCTGCCTTCTGTGCTCCTACAGGTCAGAAGAAACATCAATTCCGGAGGGCCTAAAGTACTGTGATGCGGGACGTACCGCAGTTGCGTGCAACCAGAAACACATGAGTTGTTTAAGCATCACCTTGGAAGGTTCTGGAGGAAAACCATGCAGGTTCAACTTCTGATCATGGTTGAAGCCATGATGGACATGCAGCCCGTCAACGGCAAGAAGGCCGTCTGGATGCCTCTTGCAAAAGAAGACGATGTGTAGCAAGACAAGCATGAAGAATTGGACATGATTCCTCTCTGCTTGGTTCCAGACCTGTACACTTGATCAGTCCATTGTGAGCACGTGCTCCCGTATCATTCTGGTTGAATGTTGGACGTCCAACATGCTTCATTCATCAGGTCCATGTAGTGCTTCAGGAGCACCACATCCATCTTGACCTCCAGGATTGCAATGTTGTTTCTGTTGCTGTCAAACAGTGTCACGTCTGCTTTGGTTCTCGAGCCAGGAGCTGGTTGATCACGGGCACTCTGTAATTCAAGGTTGCCCAGGGGCATTGGTCAGTTGAGTCGAATGAACAATCCGACAATCAGCTCCCAGACGTGGGCAATATCTGCCTCGGTCTTTGGACAGGTTGGGATGCCAAAGCATCCAGCATAAACGCTATTCTCGTGTCTCATGGAAAGCCAATGGCTCTGGGACTTGCAGAGATTGTGTAGGCTTGTAACCGAGCGCACTGCGCGTAGGTTTGCGGTCACTGTCTCTTCAATTGACTGACTTTTGAGCAAAATGCTTGTCGAGATATCGGTGAAGAGGCCGGGGAATTTTTCCTCGTGAAGGATGTCAAGATATTGTTGGCTGGTTCCTCCAGCCTTGTAGTGCTGTATAGTTGTGGTGGGGAAAGTCACAAAAGCTGACATGGTAATCCTCATAAGTGCTGACGTCACATCAATCAGTGTTACATACCAGGTCCAGATGTGGGGAACATTTTGAGGCAAATTTGAGGTGACTGCGGCGCTGGGGAGGACGTAGCATTGGGTGAGAATCGGCGGCAGTCAGTGGAACCCCGTCTTATCTATGAGTCCCGCTAGAAGGCGCTGTCTTCGAGTCACGGCAGCATCCTAACTTCAGATGCTCCCATAACAATTCCAGGGGCTCCAAGCCCGGGTTTGGGCCTGGGCTCTGGAGTTGGTGGGGGCAGTGGCAGGGCTTCCCGAGGATATCACTCAAGTCAAATCCCAGGTTGTTCAACATTGTGCGAGTGAAGACGACAATTATGATCCCTGAGGTACGAAGGTATCGTTAATAGGACTGGAGGGGATGAAACACCTTACAGTTGATCTCCTTTTATGGCAGGAGGCTCCCATAGTGCACGTGACACATTGGACCCCATATAAGCAGAGATAAGTGACTGATACTGATGACCCATTAGCGGGGCTTGAAATTTCAAACTCCCAGACAATGCAACTTGCACCAACAGAGACAAATAAATGCTGTGGCTGGCTGCTCTGTCCTGGGGTGCAGGTCCTTGAAACGCCTTCCAGTTGCACCCCAATATGGCAACTACTATATTGGGCCGGGATCTCGGCCACCTTAGCACTCGACGAGCCCTCTCCACTGTATGTTCACCGCACTGACCCCAATCAATGTATAGGATGATGTTAAAACATCTCGGGAACATGATAAAAATATCAGAAAAAATTTGGATTCACTCAGTAGATATCTGTGCGTTGTTTCCTTGAAGAGGGTAGGGGGAACCGGACCGACTAGGATGTCGGCCATGCTATCGACATCAGCTCCATACATCGCCGGGACCCATCCTCATGGTCTGTAATCCTATAGAAATATTCAAAGATGCATTTGAGACTCTGTTTTGGGTGCTAGGCATAAGATTCGAGTGAGGTGCGCAGTTATAGACGAGGGGTCCGGGAGACTCAGCCACAGCTTACCAAAAATGGACATCATCCCATTGATTGATTTTTTCTGAACCTGGGTCTCAACATGGTGGCTTCAAAACGTGCACAGGCATTGAAGAGATGTATATAAATGTGCTTGTATTTATTTCCAGTCTATAAGAGCAGCTGTCGTAGAGTGAGGGTGCAATGACCGAGTACCGCAGGTGGCCGAGATCCCGGCCCGATATAGTAGTTGCTTTCATCATGTGACTGGCTGGTTCACTGCCCAACACTGGCTAGCACTCACACACTGTAGACCCTCTGTAGTGTGAATCAGTAACAAATCATAGTAGACATAGTATACCCATCTGATAGCCCTCCATTCAAAGAGTATACGGTAATATTACTGAGTGCTTATAGTTGCTGGTTGGGCCAGAAAATGCAAAACAAAAAATCCACATGTGCCTCTGCAGAAGTTCAAGTGCCAGTTTCTGTTCTTAATGGTCAGGACAGTGTATCCATGCAGTTGAATGACTTTGTACATGTCACTTGCTTCCATAATAGGGCAAAGATGAGCAATAACAGGCAGTTTGATTGGGTGTCATGTCTATTGCTGACCTGTGCCATTCATGATGACCACCTGTATCTGTTTGGTGTTCTTGTATATTAACAGGATTTTGCACATTTTTGCAAGCTTATAACAGCCCATTTGTCCTGCATCAGATGTAGATCCCTAATTGGACAGGTTGCCTACTCCATATGGCAATACACAAGGACAGCACACATATAGACCTCATCTGGGGGTCCTCCTGCTAAATGTATGACCCATGCTTGCATGCACACTACACAGACAATGACTAGATCCTAATCAATTGCTGCTATAAGCACCAGGCTGACAATACAGCAGCAGCCACTGTCAATGTATTAAAAGTGTCACATGAAATGGAGTCATTCTGCTCCATTACAGCTTTGCAACTCATTGTCTCTGTCTTTGAGAATATTCACTGATTTCTCCGCATTTCTCCAGGACCATACAAGCTAGTTTAAGAGACTTGAGTAACAGGCTTATATCACTTACTAAGCACTCGTTAAGTGCCCGTGTGCTGTGTGGAGTTGCATCCACCTGGAATTTCCAGGTGCATGCAACTCCATGCGGCAGGGGAGAGATGCTGATTGGCTGGTAAGCCCATTTCCTTGCCCTGTTCAGGCCGGCTGCCGAGGTTTTGGGCTGAGTTTCATTTTCAGCCACAAGGGCATTATAGCACTGTTACTGCCCTACTATAGGCTGATAGAATCTGTAAAATCATCAAAACAGTCTGGCTAGTAGGGCTCATACTATTGAGTCTACGGCAGGCCTTACTTTGCCAGTGATTTCAGTACTGAGGGCACAAATCACAAAATAAAATCACACAGATGCCTCTGTTGACATGGTTGTGTTTTTTGCACCTTGTATGTCCTCTAAGGATGTGATTGTATGTTCATAAACACTCAAGCATCTGAGCCCTGCCATGTCATTCACCTGAGTGTCCTACAGTGTATATGACAATCTAGTATGTGGCCCACCTTCATAAATGCAGAGGCACGTAACTAACTACTGCATACACAGGTGTACATGCTCTGAACCAAGGGCTATCAGATGAGTATAGTATGTCCTCTATAATTTGTTACTGACTTGCAATGTGAAAGGCTTGTAATGATTGAGCTTACATAACACAATCAGCACTCAATCAGTGCCCATGAGGTTCACTCCCAACAAGTCATCTTGTGGTGTAGTCTCCCAGACCCTGTTGCAAACTGCTGCAACAGGTTCACCATACAGCCACATGTTGTATTAGATCCAAAAAAAACTTCGAAACATTCACACTAGGAGGCCTCGTATAATACACTCTATAATGGGTATTGGTATGCTGTAGTGTCCATTATTGATGGCACAATTTTCCAAACAAAAGAATGTACATTTGAAATGCCTCTTTGTATGCCATTGTGGTTTCACTTCATGCAAATGATTCAAAAGAACAACACAACATACCCATAGACATCGTGATCACATTCTTGGACATACTATAAGAGGAAGTGTACTGTAGCTACACTGCTGAATAAAAGTACAAAAACTGGGATATTATATCAGGGCATGTTGTATCAGACATTGTAGGATTAGATACCTGATATAGCCAATATACAAGATATTGATTGCATTCATAACCAGTTCCTCTTTAGATAGGTGGCCTACTACAAGCAACATATGCAATGAACAGTTTTGCCATGTTGTATTCAAAGGTCATTGTATAAGCTCTGAACACCCCTTGTCAACACAGGGCACTGTTAGGTATACCTAGATCAGAAGTGTCTAAGTTGTGAAGCCTGTCAAGTGGCTAGCACTGACACATGACTGAGGGTATGAATTTGCCTCTACAAAGTCAAGACTTGCCATTTTGAATGGAAATTGGGTGATCAAATAGGACAGCGGATTGACTTGACCAGACTTGTTAGTTGTGGCCAAACCAAGACTGATCAGTTTGGTCTAAGAACAATGAGTATGTGGGCAGTCAACCAAGGACATAAGTATGGGTATTGTCTACTGTCAAATGTCCTAGGCCTCTTCTTAGGCTTCCAAACACTGTCATAGCATATGAGGGAATAACACTCAGTGTGAGCCACTCAATCTTCCATAGCCCCATGCTGGACAACACTAAGGCCAATTGTATGCACTCTAAGTGGATCTGTCTTGACCCCTTCACAAGTATAGCTTGCACTACTTTAAGGGGTTTGCCAAAGTAAGAGTAAGCTTAACCATAAGAGTAGGAGTCAGGTCCATACACTAGTGGCCTATCTCCATTTCTGTTACTATGCCCTGAAAGATTACCTCAATCAACTATACATCACTTAGCTGAGTCGATCCTGATTCACCAAGTCTGTACCGTATCAGGCCGGGATCTCGGCCACCCTAGGTAGTCGGTCACTGGGGCCTTGCTCAGCTCCAACCCCTTCTGTAGCCAGGAATTAAATTCTATTACCTTACTGTACATCTTGTCATTGCCTGTGCATCACCCAAAGTCGATGCATTGAGGTTTGCGTCCTAGAAAAATCATTCTTTGAGAGGATGTCCATTTTAGGTAATCGGTGGCTGGATCTCCTGGACCCCTCGACTTCAACTGGGCATGTCGCTCAGATATCATGCCTAGAGGCCAAGGAAGAACTGTAGGAATATCTTCGAATATATTTGCATGATTTGTGGCCCATACAGATGTGTGTCAGCGATGTATGGTGCTACTTGAAACAACATGGCCGACTTCCTAGTCAGTTTGGCTCAACCTACTCTTGCCACAAAAAGTTGCACTGTCCTTCACCGAGTCACCCTGCATTTTTTCTGACATTTTTATCGTGTTCTAGGGAATGACTGAACACAAAAGTCTAGGTGAGTACAGTACATATAGAGCGAGGAAGGCTCGTCGAGTGCTTAGGTGGCCGAGATCCCGGCCCGATACAGTACTTGTCAGTGAGCCACACAGGACTCAGTGAATAGCTGAAGCAATCCTCATTCTCAATTGACTGATTGACTCAGTCAGTTGCACTTCAATCATTCTATTAATACTCTTTTACAACATGATGATCCTCAATTCTAACTCTACTTAGGTGACTGCAATTACATAACTACCAAATGGTCTTACTTGGTAAGTACCCAGTAAGTTAGCAACACCAATCCATAACAGGCACATCTGGGGTATAGAGATGCATTCTCATGGATGCAGAGGCACATGCACATTTTTTGTTTTGCAATTTGTGGATTAACTAGCCACTGTGTATGCCCACCATTCATATTGTATGCTCTGTGAATGAAGGGCTACCAGATGTGTCTGTATACAGTGTTGGATTTGAACCTATATTGACATGATTGAACAACTTCATGCAGGCCACACTAGTTGTGGCTTGCATTGTGGGGATACTTCTATGACAAAAGAAAACACGCTCTTGCTAATGATGACCCTGAGTGAGATTGGCTTACATAGTTACTATATACAACCTCACTATATATGTTTTACAGGAAGCCTGTCCTCAACATGCAGAAGAGGATTACACTGGATAGAAAAATGAATGCAGTTGATATGCAAGGCAATTAAAGTGAGTTTCCAGTTCTGCATGGCAACATATCACAATTGCATGATTTGTGGCCTGCTTGTAGACAAGAAAAGGCCTCCATTGATCTCACTGGTGGAACTGGTGGCGCCAGCTCCGCGGACAACAACTCTGGCACCCTTGATTGCTTGATTCTCATCCTGGGAACCCAAGTCCATGCAAATAGTCCTACAGTAAAGTGGTCAACAGGTCACACAACTGTTGTTCCATACGTCCCAGATGAAGATGGTCACAACACCATCTGGGACAACAAATACTTCGTTTGGCACCTGATGATTTGGGTGCCCTCAACCTCAAGCTCCTGGGTTGTAGCTGCACTTGAAGGCAAGGAGTGCAGCTCCCCCTTTGAGCTCAGGAATTCCTTGGCTCATAGCTTGGTGGTGCATATTTCCAACACCCGAAATGTGTCCAACTTTTCCATGACCCTGGAGGCATTGAATGCACAGTATGGGATCATCCCAGCCACTTGAGTGGATTTTCACAGTTTGTGTACCTTCATCATCTGTTCCTTGTGACTTCCTCAATCATTTCTGTTTTAGATGTGGAAAAAAGGCCAACAACTGGAACAGCCCTCATGTCACGGGAACCATCTGGGACCTCTTTGATGGGTTGAATGATCCATCCTTGATACAGTATGTGTTGTCCTGCCAGCTCCAACATGCTGGATGGTTTCCTCCATATAAGTGAGTCTTTTGTGATTTTCAAGCTCTAGTGCTGAGACTCTATATTCTATATCCATAGCCTGGCATTGGATGACCTCACAACTGCGCAAAACATCACCAATGAATCATATGTGGGTGGACCTAGTGCTGCAGCATCTGATTTCTGAGGGATACACTGTGTAGCTGGGATCTGTTGCACCAGCCTTGCATTGCAATATACCCACAAAGGGATGCAGATTGCATGGGAACTTGGGTGGGTAACAACAGGTGTTGGCAGCCTCAAGCTGTGGTTTGTTTTCTGCCTCAAGGAGCTAATTCATAGCCACAAAGAAGCTTGTGCCAAGCTTGCTGAACTACTTGAGATGAAGAACTGGTCGGCTTGTAAAGGGCTCAGACTGTGTTTGCCACCTGGTCATTTTGACATACCGTTGCCATGGGAAGAGATCACAGATGTAGAGGTGGTTGCTCTGTGCCCAGGTTATTTACTGTGTTAGTATCATTGTACTTCACTATTCAAAACTTCATGCTAACAGATAACTAAGGATCATGCCCCCTGGTACGATTCATGCTATGGTAACCCCAATCACCTCCTTCACCATTGGCAAACATTTCTATTCCTATGATTGCATGCACCACACTGAGCATGCAAAACATGGGGGTCACTTGCATGGGCTACATACCACAAACACAGACATATCCACTCACTAGAAGCTATCACCCATATGACCCTTGCCATACCTCAAGTCTTTGAATCTAACCACTGTAAGTGTTTGAGTTAAATCGGTGCTAGCCTTAGCTAATGATACCACTGCTGCAGGGTTGTACAAGCAACCACTGGCTGCCCTTCTATCCCAACTCTTAAACCCAGAACATCACATTGCAGAAGCAGATTTACATGAATACTGTGCTAAAGGTAAGTCTTTACCTTAGATGCAGAGTATATTATGCTCAAGCCTCACTGGCATATAGACTAATAGGTCAAGAGCTACAAGTTAACTGCAGCATACATAAAGGCAAAGAAGATTGGCCCCTACCTCATTTGGAATATCCTTGGATTCTGTTCTCATGCAGCAGCTTGGACATATCTTCAAGAGCAGATGGGTGGCTTGGATATGGTGGAGCTATTGGGCAATTCTCAGGATTATAGCTGTTAGATTGTCTACCAGGGTGTGCTTAGATTAATGTCATTCCCCTTGTTCACTGCCATTGCTACTTACCTGAAGGTTTGAGTGTGATTACCATCATGTTCAAGTTGTTCCCAATCATCCCCAAAACCTCCTTGTCCACTATTGGCAGCCACAGCCACTCATTCAGATATGTCTGCTGCACACCTGGCAGCCATTGGGAAAAGCTGCTCTCCAGATTGAGTGAGCATACTGCATTTTCTCACTGAATAGTGATACTGACGTTTACTGTGTTCATTTAATCTGCCGGATCAGCTGGTCTTCTTTCTTGTGCAATGTATAGAATTATATGGTACCTTTGACAAGGCCTATCAGAGATGTTTGGCACTGAATAGGTCAAGAATATGTGACAATCATCATCAGTAATACATTGTGCATGCTGTTCACCTGTCACACAAGGATGTTGGAGGACACATTAGATGCATTATTCATCAATCACCATGACCACTACAGTACAGACACTACACAGTATACATGATCATAGGAAACCCAGGCAACACTATCTGAATGGCCAATGAATGGAGCTCAATTTCTTGAAGATATGGCTGTGAATCTGGAATATGTGGGACCTACTCAACGAGATCATTGACAACCCATCTGCAAGTGCTTTCTTGACTACAACATGGGTGCATTATGCTCCAGGACCAAGTAATCAGGCACAACAGCTAGACATTGTTGACACATTTACAGCTGACTACTAAGTTAAATTCTCCTTGCAAAGCACTCCTGGACTAATGCAGTTGTTCACACAGCTACAGCAAGGTTGGCTACTATGCCAAGTTGGCTGATAACAACTGATTGAACTATTGTATGCAATACCACCTGATATGGACAAGTACCTGTACTTCTGCATGTAGCCTCAGTAATATACATGCAGAATCCTAGGAGACATCAAGGAGGATGTGTAATAAGTCCTCACCTCATTGGTCACTATCCCCAACATCTTCCTTGGCATGCCCTTTCTCTGCAACATGTACCTGGCCGTGACTTACGGATGCCCAGACAAAGGCAGCACCTTCTCCAGCAATGACACCTACTAGCATGCCAGCAAAGAAGCCAACCCCTACCTTGGGCTCATGGCGCTCAGGAACAGAGGTGCAGCATCACTTTGGGCCACCCGCAGCATGCCATGCACATGTATGGTTGCTACAGTATGGTATGTAACTATTGGCACACACATCTCCCCAGTCAGGCACCAGTGCCTGACAGGCTGTACAAACCTAAGCTCTGCAAATGTCAGGGTGAACATGAGTTTGCAGAGCAATGTTTGGCAGACAGAAAGTGACCATGAGGTGTAGTTACAACACAGTAGCAGCGATTAGTACTAGCCTGACAATATATTTAATCCCGGTGTACCAAGCAATGTGTTAGTTTGTCTACAATGTGCATTTGTTCTCTGATTTATGAATACGGCTCATGTTATGCTTGTAATTATAACCTCTTGTCTCTGTCTTTACCTGCCATGTGACATCTTCAACCTGCAACATCTCACACTGTGCTAGTAACGTGCTGGGGGCAGGCTAGGAACAATATGAGCACAATGTGCAGGCATCAGATACGGATCTCAATATATATGTGCAAACAGCTGTCTAATGATTGTGGGCTACAAGCAGGACAACACTGGGACCTCAACGAGGCCGTCCATGTCATACAGGCTGGGATTCCTGTTTGCCTTGTTGAGACGTTGCTTTGCAGTTTCCCAAGCATCCACTGTGACCAAGGGCAACAGTCTGTCAACTGGGTTGCTGAGAGGTGGGGCTGTTTGAGGTACTCTGAGCCGGCTTGCCAATGATCACATAGGAATGAACACAGCTGGTTTTTTCCTTCACCATCATTATCTAAGTTGTGTCGAAGCAACTACAGATCACTCATGAGTTCCAGTTCAAAGAAATAAAGAACATAGGACCTACCAGGCAACACCTAGAATGGACCCACTGGGTGTCTTTGAGGTCATCAGAGTAGTGCTTGCAAAGGTATTGGTGATCCTCTGCCCCTTGGAAGGCCCAGAGGAAGACCTTTAGGGGTCCAGAGTATACCTTACCCTTGGTGGTGTAGCCACCAACAATGTGGTTCTTCGGGCAAGGCAGCTCCACCCAGTGATCAACGTTGATGTCAATCCCATCCAGTTTGACTTGTTTTCCTTCCTCAACAGACACCACAATGAACATGACATCTGATATTGTTCTCCTGTTGGGAGGAATCAGAGAGGAGCCAGGCTGTGAGGGCGAGCTAGGCAGGGAGGGGGTGGAAGGCAGCATTGGAGCTGTGGACAGCATTGGAGTTGTCTCCCACCCTCCACTGCAGTGTTTGTCTGGCCGGCTGTGAAACACACATTGGATATGTGGTTCATGAAGGCTTCCTCCTCTACAACCATGGCTTGGGCATGGGCAGTCTGCAGGAGGTCCGCCTTCAGTATTTCAGAAACAGAGATAATTCTGATGGCCTACCTTAATGAGGTTGTCAACGTAGGACTTGTTTTGGCATTTTGGAGGTAACAATGTCTGGACTGTTATCCCCCACCACTGTGAGTTCCTGTGATTCTTGTGCAATGAACATAGCTGACACAGGATTATTGTAAGACCTCGGCCTAACTGGGAGGCCTTAATCAGGGGAATGAACGGGCTTCCCTGTGCTATAGGTCAGGGGTTGACCTTGGTCACAGCTGTCAGTACTGTCCAGTGTGGACAGTGAGTCCTAGATGGGGCGAGGAGCCTGTCGAGGGTTATTCCTAGACAGGCAAGGAGCCTAGTTGAGGATTGTCAGTGCAGCAAGGAGCTGGCTTTTGTTGTTAGCGAGGCGAGGAGCCTCATGTAGTCCTACGCTGGCAAGGAGCCTGTGAGGAATGCCCACAGCAAGGAGCCCAGGGCAACGAGCTGGCGAGGAGCCGCCCGGTTTTGGAGACAGCAAGGAGCCGTGCTCCTCAGCGCGGCGAGGAGCACTCTTGACTAGAGAGAAGACTCCACGCTTGGACGGCGCGGTGGTTCGCATGCATATGAGGTGGCAGTAGTGGGTTAAGATCAGTTACTTCCCAAAAAGGAAGGCAGATGGCTAAGTACATGCACGATCTAATCTTATCTACACTAGATGGTTCATAATCTATAGTACTGAACAGGCATAGTGATGCCTATCTGTCACAGGTATGGGTAGCCAAATATGGACCCATGGACCCGCCATATACCCGTGATGGAGGGGGTTTTCGGGGACTCACCGGTGACCAGCTCAGATCTGGATCTGGGAGAATAAAATATACCAATGTTGCAATTGGCATGCTGCTGGAAGCTTTAGTAACAATCAGGGACACCCTAAGCCTTTGCCTCGTTGTTGTCCTCCCACTCCCTGTCACTCGCCCACAATGTCCGGCAGTTGGATCAGCAAGAGACCTAAGATACCTTCTGAAAAGCATAGGGCAGCTGAGTCACCAACAAGACCTGCAAAGATGTTCAAGACAGCACGTACACACCAATTTGAGTGCTGATGCTCAGCCAAGTGCCGGCAGCAGTAGCCGTGAGCCTTTGGCAGCAAGAGCAAGCTTGGGCTTTGGCAGTGAGCACCCACCATTCGACAGCCAGCGCGTGGCTTCCCACACAGTGCTCCGTTGAAATTGAAGACATCAACAATGTTGATGATGTATTTTTCGCAAAGGGAAGCGAGCTGCCAATTGTGATTGACTTAGAGTCGTCAAGGTCTGTTGAGGAGAGCAGTGCTAGCAGCAAGTCGGACAAGGGAGGCAAAGATCTTGCCAAAGAGACTGCAGAGAACGAGCTAGGTAAGTGGTCAGCATGAACTGATCATAGAAGAACCATACTCACCTTGAACAATACAGCATGTATGCGGCAAATGGATGGCACCAGCATATGCGTTCTCAAGGGATAGCACGTGCACGTCTTCTGATGTGCCAATTTTGGTTGCAAGATGAGGCGGCAGCAGTGAACCTACAATGTTCCCCATGGCAATCACTTTTGGCACATTGATGGGCATCACAAGCTCATACAGTGGGGAATTGTCATCCATGGTGGTATAGATGGGAAGTGCCGCAAGGTACTATCATACTCTGGTGTAACAGTGTTCAGCTGACAGATTGCAACAAGTCTAGGTTGTTAAGCTTCACGCTATCAATAACAACCAACCAACAACTGTCCTGCACGAGCTCATTATTGCTGTCCAAAAACACGGCTTACCGTGGTACCGGTGTTTATGGAGACCACGGTGGCAAGAATGTGCTTGTGTCTGTATACATGATCATGCGGTGTGGGCCAAATTGGGCCTCATTTATGTGGGGAGTGTACATCACATTCACAAATTCACTGCACCTATTGGCCTCACTTGCGTGCAAAATCATAGATCAATGAGGACTGCAATGAATTTCTCGAGAACTGCAATGGGGGGTGGCATGTCTGATCTGTCACCTGCTGTACGTCCCAGGTTCTGCCATTGAATGAGCATTGATATGTACACAATGATGTGCACCTACTCTGAAGTAGATTGTCTCATTTCCTGTAGAGGGAAAGAGCTCAAGCTTGGGCATCATGTAGCTAATGAACCTGTCGGTATATGTGGATATATAATCAGTACAGTGGTTACACTCACACTGCACCAGGAATACCATTGTCTCTGTCCTTGCTGTTGGATGATTATCAGAAGCATGATCCTATTCTTGGACAAAAGACATACCCAGATGGTTGCTTCCCACACTTGAGGGTTTTTGATGTCTCAATGATGGTGTCAAGTCTGTGATCTAAATGTTCATAGCCATTTACATCAAAATGGAAATCATTTACCGCTTGCCCTCGATGAACACAGCCTCCCTGTATATCACAGCTATCGTCCTATCCATCTGACAATCAATAAATGACATTCTTGTTGCTCGTTCCAGCAATCATGGCTGGACCCATCCTAGATTCCTATGATGCCACCATCCTCGAGTTTGTCGACGAGACATACATCAGAGAGTACTCATTCCTACCTCACCTATTCAACATGCAATGAAGAAATGACATTTTTGTTGCTTGTTCCAGCAATAAATGGAATATCCTCTGCATCAGAAATGACTACTGCCTTTGCCCTTGCCTTTGCCTTTATTGCTGTAGACATGTTCAGCTGTTGATCATCTAATCTCACAACATAACTGACACCATTGTATGTGACTGCTTGGGTGGTGATGCATTCAGGGACTCTGCTTCTTCATCTGCAACAGGAGTTGGGTGCTCAATACTACACTGCTATGATCAGGTCACATTGTGATGACACAACATACAACCTACCGCTTGGCTCTCACTTTATCTTTGCTGTTAAAGGTCAGCATGCATATATTCCTACATGAATAATTTAAACCTCGGGGGTTGCTGGACTGTCTGGCGGACCCGTCAGGGATGCCCTATCAATGAATTGGCATGGACAATGAGCTGTCATTGTGCTGCTCTGCAACATACCTTTTGATGGGACTATTGGGGTTTGAACCCACAAGTTCGGTGTCCCATTCAGGATTACTTGACATGAATATCAGTTCAATTAAACCGGTGACTGAGTGACAGCACATCAAGATAGCTGCTGACAACTTACATGAATGAGTGACGCCTTCTCATCTTTGGGGTAGAGCCATGGTCCTCAGTAGATCTGAAGGTCATTTTGTCAGCAATGCACTAATAAGGTTATTCCTAATCACTTACACAATAGGCTCATCATCACTGGATGCAACAGTAGCCACATCTGCTGTCTCCTCCTGTACATTTTCTTCATCAGGAAGCATGACTAAATCTTCATTATAATCATCTTGCCAATTGTCAGCTCAATCCTTTTGGTGTCCCGTGCTTCATCATCAATGAGGCAGTGGACTTCAGCAGCACTGGGCTTGGCCTTTGCAGATTGCACACTGTATATATAATGTAGAGAATGAGAAACATAAGATCAATTGATAATAACATACTGCTTGGAAGGTCCATGCTTAGCTGCCTGTCTGCTGTTGTACATAATTACATAAGTCAGCTTACAGAACAAAGTCATTCACATACAACTGCTGTTTTGGCTCTGGGACATAGTCATCTCCACTGTCAGATACCTCAACAGGCTGATTCTTGACCATCTTGGCCTTGGAACTGAATAAATGGAGTTCAAATAGAGTTCAGCACAGTCAGTGGGCTCATGGACAATGCACGTACGACTGGGCAGCAGCACGTGGCTTCTTGGGGTGTTTGCAGCAGCACCACACTTTGCACTACTTGATCTAATACAGCTGCAGTATGAGACACATACAAGCCACAAATGAACATACAGCAACTCACCCAGGCATGACAGGTTTGCAGTGTAATCTGTGTGAGATGTATGGGGTGAAGCACTGGGGGCTGCTCAGAGGGATGGGAGACTACTTATACAGAGAGGGAGTCATCTATCAGCAGATGAATCAGAGATCCATCAATTGCATGATCAGTGTCATGCTGAAGTTGCCATCAGAAACACAAGCATGCACAGTACCTTGGAAACACAAGCCAGCCAGCCACAACTGCTGCATACACTCCCAACAGCTACTATATTGGGCCGGGATCTCGGCCACCTGTGGTACTCGGTCATTGCACCCTCACTCTACGACAGCTGCTCTTATAGACTGGAAATAAATACAAGCACATTTATATACATCTCTTCAATGCCTGTGCACGTTTTGAAGCCACCATGTTGAGACCCAGGTTCAGAAAAAATCAATCAATGGGATGATGTCCATTTTTGGTAAGCTGTGGCTGAGTCTCCCAGACCCCTCGTCTATAACTGCGCACCTCACTCGAATCTTATGCCTAGCACCCAAAACAGAGTCTCAAATGCATCTTTGAATATTTCTATAGGATTACAGACCATGAGGATGGGTCCCGGCGATGTATGGAGCTGATGTCGATAGCATGGCCGACATCCTAGTCGGTCCGGTTCCCCCTACCCTCTTCAAGGAAACAACGCACAGATATCTACTGAGTGAATCCAAATTTTTTCTGATATTTTTATCATGTTCCCGAGATGTTTTAACATTATCCTATACATTGATTTGGGTCAGTGCGGTGAACATACAGTGGAGAGGGCTCGTCGGGTGCTAAGGTGGCCGAGATTCCGGCCCGATATAGTATGTTTGACAACTCAGGCAACACAGAAGTGCACTAGGAGTCAATGTGAAATTGAGGGATTTCAAGTTGCCATAGCTGACAAGATCCAACCATCCTGTGGAAATCTGACATTCCAGTGATTGATACTCATGGAAGCATCAGATGTCTCAGATGCATGTGTTGGTAGGAATATAGCCAGTCTCCTCAAGGATGCTGGCTGAACACATTGGTGTCTGGTATGCCATTGCATCCTTTCATCCTGCACTCATGGCTCTTGTCAAAGACTCACAGACTGAAGGACAACAATCACACAACAAATTGACCCTTGCCTGAGTCATGATGGCAACAAATCATCAAAGCAACTTGTGGCTGCTGTGTGTAATGACATATTATATTATTCATGGGCTAATAATGCAGGCATTATCAAAGCTGATCACTTACGTGAGTCTGCAGATGTTCTGAACCATGGGCCTGGCAAGACAAATTGCTTGTCTATGGAGGAAAGAACAATGTGGTGGCCAAAGAAATCATAATCAGTATTCAAGGTTATCTATTGAGGACCAAGTTACCACCTATCATAAAGGAGTCTGAGTATGTCTTACGATCCATAAAACATAGCATATCTGATAATATATGCAGCATAGCACAGACCAAGGTTGTCCATACAGAGCAGTATGTGTGCATTGGAAGCCTGGCAGATCCACTCTTTGGCCAGGGAGTTGTTGTGGTTCTTGCAATTCATCAATTCCTGGAATCAAGACTCAGGTCCTAATCCCTGCAAGATATGAATGTCAAGCAAGAGCAGGGACACAATGTTCTGGACTTTCATAACTGGTACCTCCCCCCCATAGTGAAGCAGCAGCAGCCAGCATCATCCTGTTCCCTGATGACTATGATCCACAACACATCTCGTGGAGCTGGGTTACAGATGAGGTCTTCACAGCCAAGAATGCAGTGCAGTTCCATGAGCATGTCAAGCTGGATAGATCTAGTCACAGGTAAGTGTATTATTTCATACATTCATTTACTGGTGCATGGATTACAATGTACCAGTAAGTATCAGTTCAAGAATCTCATCCAACTGCCATGTGTTGGACAGCTTGTTGAGATCCAGATGTTCTTTGGTGTGGTTCCAAGAGGCAAGAGAAATTACAAGCTAATCAGCAAGCAAGCTACAATCAATCTGTGTCCCTGACCGGGGCATTGAGAATGTACGCACAGATTACACTAGTTGTATGTTTTATTGCATCTATAATCTTAACACAGGAGATCAATCAGGAACACATCCAAGTGTTGAGCTCGAATTTATTCCGCATTTCTGCGGATTATTCTGAGCTCCATTGCCCTGTCCAAGTCATAATATGTGTCCTGGTGTGTTCTCCTTTATTTTACATGGACGCCATTACTGTACCATGCATACTATATTTTTTCCGACCTCTTTCCCTTCAGTCTACCATTTTCTATAATGTTTGACACTTCTGGGATTTGAACCCTTGCACTCACGAGCTTTTCACTTGTTTGTTGATTTCGATTTTGTGGCTGTTCTACTATACAGATGTGGCTGTATTACGTAACACAGGCCGTAGACAGTCCGCCTCGTTGAGCTCTAAGTCCCTAAGACTTTACAGAGCTCGACTTAGGTGTGTATCTTTGCTTTCTTGAATATAAAGACTTTACAGAGCGAGACTTAGGCCTTTGGAATCGCTCTGAGGCGCACTGCAGCCAACACCAAGCAGCCTTGCAGAAGACATCACCTACCTGGAAAGTGAAATGGAACATGGGCTATGAGCAGTCAAGGAAGCCAGAGAGAATGTGAAGTGCATGCAGATCAATAGATCAGAATCTCCATAGTAATGTAAACCGTTGTCATAACAGTTAGCTCTAGTGGGTATCATGCTTGACACCTATGATGGGCTTCAGGATATCAAGCCACATGCAATCAGGGCACTGGGATGGTATGTGCATCCTGCCAGGTACAAGGTTTGGGTGGTGCCACACATAGTTATTGACAGTGATGGGTGGGGTGCCCTCCATGCTGTTGTGGTATGGAAGACGATGACACTATTGTGAAGACGGAGGATGAAGGACATTTTGAGCTTATGGGCCATTGTGTGGTGAAGAGAGACAGCACACTGGATGATGACCTGTGTGGCAAAGTGGATGTCAGAGCTGAGGTGGGCATTGAATGTTGCAGCTGAGAAGCCAACCTTGTAGTCAAGCAGTTGACACTTGAGGTGCATGCATGTGGTGTTGTTGGTCAAAGATTCATTGAACATCCAGTGCTGCAAGACCTTGGAGAGTGTTTTTAACTTGTTGGTGAGCATGATGTTGAACCACTGCAACATGTGAGACAAGGCAAAACAAATACATTGGGGACTTACCTCATCTAAGTTGCATCATGAGCATGATATAGGTCACCGATGTGCACATTGCTGTGGTATAGATGAAGGTGACAAGGTGGACATCTGAGATGCTAACAGAAGGCTGATAAGCATATGCACCATCAGATGTACAATATTATGTTGGCATACAGACTCTTCATATGCCTGGCATTCACTGCGGCATCCTTTTTGATGTAGAAATCAAATACCACATCAGCTGGAATGGCCCTGCCAAGGTAGAATGCATATGTGGGAACCTCTTGCCCGAAGAGGAGGAACAACTTGTCGGTGGACCATGTGCTTCTGCCCCGGAATGCACATAGTCCGGACGCACCACGGTTCAGTAGCAAATGTATACAGCACTTCAAGGCTAGGCACGAGAAGCACCTAGCCACCAGCCGAGCATCCAACCTTGATTCACAGCAAGCTTCTGTATTGAATCCACATGCAGTGAACCACTTCTTTGATTGGACGGAGGCAGAGTATCAGGATCACCAGATTCAGCAGATGGACATCTGGGCAGCCGATGAATTTGGCATCACCAAGTTGGTTGAGGCAACTGAGCAGGTTGTATACTGCCGAGGCAAGAAGCATCCTCCTGTACAGCAAAGTGGAGAGGAGAACATTCCTGTCATGGCCACGGTCTGTGCAGATGGAGAATGTCTGCCATCATGGACTATCTACAAGGGTGAGCAGTTCCAGGCGTCATGGGGACTAGACAATCCAGGGGGTGTGATGTGAGCTTGTCCTGATTACTGTCCTGAATTCTGTACTAAATTGGAATTTACTAGGGTTGCATGTTTGTCATCAGGCTGGATGAAATCTCATCTGAGCCTGGTGTGGCTACAAGAATTTGCAAGGACTGCCCCAAAGGCCAATGGAAGCCGCTGTGCCATGCATCTCGATGGACACAAGACACACACACATCTTGGTTTCGACAACTACACCGACGAGCATGGCATCAGTCTCATTGGCTATCCACCGAAGACGAGACACGAGCTACAGGGTCTTGATCATGTCCATTTTGGGCGCGTGAAAACGCTCTGGCCCGAGCATGTACAGCAATTTGAGGAAGACAACGGTGTTCCTGTGGGAAAGCGCTACTTGCTCAGTCATCAGCAAAAGTGTGTGTTTGTCTGAACCCTCTGAGATGTTCTGAGCCTTCTGACATCAGACATTTCAGACACTTCAGACTGTCAGACAATTGGGTCTGAAAATGGAAGGTTCATTCTGATGTCAGATGCAATCTCTGATGCTGACTCAGACACCCTTCAGACGGTGTTCAGAGCAGTCTCAGAGTGATTCAGATCACCTTCATGCAATCATCAGACCACCTATAAGCAACACTGCATACACAAACATTAGCAATATCAATTGCATGGACTGTATAGTATGGTTGTCCACCTTCAAACTGTAACATAAGCGATTGAAAGGGTTCCAAAATGAGTGTAAACAACACAAAATGAAGTCCAGGCTTGAATCACTGAAGCAATGCTGTACTAAGTGCAAACTGATGGTGAAAAGCGAGCATTGTAGAAGTAATGAGATCCTTCAGGCATTGAGGGTATCAGTATTTGAGCAGTCCAGTACGACTGGGACTTGGATTTGGAGGTCAAGACGCTGTGCTCATTGCTGGCTGGGTGATCTTTGCCTTCTTCTCTGCAATCTCCTCAGGCAGAGCAATGTCCATGACGTCCACTGCCTTTGCACCGGGGAGCATTGCCATGATCTCTTCAGCTGAGGTGAGGATCTTTGCCCAGGTTTTCTTTGCAAGGGGATCTTCTGGCAGATCACCGCTTGCATAGAGTTTCCACGCATGTTCCACCTTCAATTGGTTTGCAAGAGGCTATCATACACAACCCAACAACACTCACTGCAATGACTGCTAGAGCAGTGCTCCCTGCGGATAGTCAACTGTGCCGTTGTGTGCATTTTGAGTCCACTGAAGATGGTAAGCTAGAGTCTTAAGGATCTTGCGAGACTGAAGCCGGCCATGATGCACCTGAAAGTAGACACATGAAGATCTGAAATCAGATATATCACTTGAATCAGGACACACAATGTACCTTAACACTCCCATCAGGATTCTTCCGGACTTCATGCCAGAGGAATGGTGTGGTCCGCAGAGCCCTGTCAGCTTTGGGATCCTCCTCAAGCTCTGCATCTGCATACTTCATCTGCTCTTCATGTGGCATGATACAACCATGAAAGGTCTTGTCAACCGCAGCAATTGTGTTTCTTCTGATGGCAGTGCGCCATACATAGCACTTGTGCTTGGCCTATTTGAACGGCAGGTCAACATAATGTGTCACTGCTCGGCATCAACTCAGAGAAGGGAACACTCATAGACTGGACTCACTTTATGGGGCTTGTTGGGAAAGCAATTGTCCCAAGTCTTCTGTAAAACCGCAAGATTGCTTGCCTCCTGAACATCCCATGGGTTTGCAAGCCGACCTAGATGCTCAAACAATGTTGGCACAAAGATGAGCTGCCACTCGCACTCAGAGCAAGGAAGGTCCTCATTCCTTGCACACTCCACAGCCTTCCGCTGTTGGCTGTGGTTGGTTCCCTGGCATGCCTTGGCTGCAGCTTTCTGAGCTGCATCATCTGGCTTCTTGCATGTAACAGAGATGATGCCCTGCCATTGTCCATGAGTACTGATGTTGCATTTTTTGACTTGGGTGAAGGTTAGAACTGTGTACATATGGCATCAGTGTTATGGACTGTTGTTGATGTCTCCCAGGAGTGATGTTTGCACTGCACTCTCCGTGACATCCTCAAAACCCTTGCGTACTTACTCGTCTGACTGAGTGTAGCCGTCAACCATGGCAGAATCACTTTGTTTGTTGGCTGAGTCTTCATCTGAGAGGTTATGAGCAAGTGGAGAGATGGCCTTCACGGTGATGAGGTCAAAGATGGAGGCCATGGTTTGCTCAGGTGGTCGCTCAGACTTGGGAGTTGCTGACTCGAAAGACCGTGCCTTCGTTTTGTTGACCTTAGCAGGAGTTGTGGTGGATGCCACCGAACCAGTGGTGAGCATTGACAATGTCTTGCTGCCATCATAGCCCCGGCATAGGCCCACAGGAAAAGGAGTCTTCATTCACTTAGGTGTTGCAGAGGCACTGACAACCACCATGTGAGTCAGTCAGCGCTGACATGGTGATGCCTAACCCATATGCAGCATGTAGCGTACCTTTTGGGAGTCACATTCATGAGCGGACCCGTTCCTCATGGCACCCAGTACACCCAGGCTGCATATTCCCCATCGTCAATGGAAACCCAACGCCGGCTGGAGGAATGTGTCTGGAGGTTGCAACCACCAGCCACCTGAGGTGCCCATTTTCAGCAGACTGGCCGGTCTTGTTTTGAACAGACTGGCCAGCAATAGGGCAAATCAACAAGTGTTACTGAACAATGGTCCGGAATTTAATCTATGGTTGTAAGCGGACCAGCCAGAGATCAGGCACCTGCATTTATAACAGACCAGCCAGAGGTCATATACCCACATTTATAATGCTCCGGTCAGACTTCATCCCTATGGTTGTAAATGGTCCGGCTGGAGGTCATATACCTTCATTTAGAATGTACTGGCCAAAGGTGATGTACCTGCATTGAGAAAGAACTGGCCAGTCATAATGTACCTACATGCAAAACAAACCGGCCAGGCATGACATACTTTCACTACACATGGGCTGGCCAGCCATAACAAACCCACATTGGAAATGAACTGGCTGGTCATTGGAGCCTGGATAATAATTGCTCGAAAAAGCCTGGAAAACATATTCATGGATGCACTGAGTTTTCTGGGCTTGGGATACATGCTCCCAGTTCTTGAGGCACATACAAACCATTCCAGTACTTCAAAAGTACCATAAATGAGCTTAACAGGCTGAAAACAGACCAGAACTAGCCTTTCTGGGCTGGAATTGCTTCAGAAGCCATTCTTTACGATCCCTGAGGTACGAAGGAATCGTTCTTATGACTGGAGGGCATGAAACGCCTTACAGTGGCGCCCGATATGGAAGGAGTCCACGTGACTTTTTGAGGCCCAGATAAGCAAAGATAAGTAACTGATACTGATGTCCTATTAGCAGGACCTAAAATTTGAAACTCCCAGACAATGTGACTTGCACCAACAGATACAAATAAATGCTGTGGCTGGCTGCACTGTCCTGGGGTGAGGGCCCATGAAACACCTTCCAGTGGTGCCCAATATGGCAACTGGTGGCTTTCATCATGTGACTTACAGGCTGGCTGGCTGCTGTGGCCTGCCAGTGCTCACACTGTATACAGTCAATTAGTAAGTAATCATAGTAGACATAGTATGCCCATCTGATAGCCATCTGTTCAAAGAGTATACAGTAATATTCCTAAGCACTTACAGTGGCTGGTTGGGCTGGAAAGCACAAAACAAAAAAATCTACATGTGCCTCTGCATAAGTCAAAGCACCTCTGTCTGCTCCAGATACTCACTGAATCATCAGGACAGTGACCTCATGCAGTTGAATGACTTTGTATGTGTCAGTTGCTTCTGTGATACAGCAAAGATGAGCCATATTGGGCAATTTGACCACTAGTGTGCATATAATTGCTTATGTGTCATGTCTATCACTGACTTGTGTCATTTATGATGACCAACTGTACCTGTTTAGTTTCCTAATATATTATTAGGATTTTGCGCATTTTTACAAGCCCATTTGCCCTGTATCAGCTGTGGTTTCCTTATTGGGCAGGTTGCCTACTACTTATGGCAATACACAGAACAGCACACTCATAGACCTCATCTGGGCCCCTCTGACTAAACACTGCATGTATGATACATGCTTAGCATCTGTGGGAGTATGTGTGCTACACAGACAGTGACTAGAGCCTAATGTATTGCTTCTGTAAGCATTGGGCTGATGATACAGCAACCAATGTAGATGTATTGAAGGTGTAACATGAAAGTATTGAAGGTGTAACATGAAAGTATTGAAGGTGTAACATGAAAGTATTGAAGGTGTAACATGAAATAGAGTCTTTCTTCTCAATTAGAGCCTTTCAATTCATTGTCTATGCTTTTGATAACATTCACTGATTTCTCCACATTTTTTTAGATCTGTACAAGCTAGTTTAAGAGAAGTAACAGGCTTACATCGCTTACTAAGCGCCCATTAAGCGCCCGTGTGCCGTTGGGAGTTGCATCCACCTGGAAATTCCAGGTGGATGCAACTCCGTGCGGCAGGGGAGAGATGCTGATTGGCTGATAAGCCCATTTCCTTGCCCTGTTAAGGCAGGCCTGCCGATGTTTGGGCTGAGTTCTAAATTCAGCCACAAGGCCATTAGTACCACGGTTACTGTGCTACTATAGGCCAATACAATCCATAAAATCTTCAAAATATTATGCCTTGTAGCCCTCATACTATAGAGTCTATTGCTATTCTTACCTTCTTGTGCACTTCAGTACTCAGGGCACAATTTACAAAATGAAAAATCATACAAATGCCTCGGTGACATGCTTGTAGTCCTTTGCACCTGGTAAATGATCTCTAAGAATGCAATTGTATGCCTATAAGCACCTTTGTGTCCTGTAGTGTACATTACAATCCACTTGCTGCTGTTTCTGGTATGTGGCTCCAGCTTTGTAGATGCAGAGGCACATGTGAGTTTTTTTGTTTTGCATTTTGTGGCTGCACTAGCCATTGTATATGCATAGCATTCACCCTTTATATCCTCTGCATGAAGGGCTTTCAGGAGGGTATAGTATGCTTGCATCATTTGTTACTGATGTGTACTTTGTGGGCTTGTAATGATTCAGGCTACATTGTGCAATAAGCGCTCAATGAGCGCCCATGCCACGCGAGGTTCACTTGTTGACAGGTCAAAATTTTGACCTGTCAGCAAGTCATCTTGCAGTGTGGTCTCCCAGACTCTGTTGCAAACTGCTGCAAAAAGCAATTGTCCTTACCAGGATTCACCATTCTCAGCCCAGCAACAAGTTTGATTGAATCCAAAAACCCTCGAAATATTCATGCTAGTAGTCCTCATACTATAGACTCTATAATAGGTATTTGCTGTAGTGTCCATTACTCATGCCACAATATGCAAAACAAAAAATGCACAAGTTGTCATGGTTTTCTTTACTTTGTGCACAGGATTCAAGTAAATAACACAGCATATCCACATTTTTAGACCCACTGGATAGTGAAGTTGTATCATTGCTAGACTGCTGAATAAAAATGCAAAACTGGGAGATTGGATCCAGGGCAACTTTCATCAGACATACAGTTCATAAGGTTCCTTAGATAATATCTATGCAGGATAGCAATGTCACTCCCTTAGCATACTGCTACTTTTGGTCAAAACTGCCCTTTTGAGTGTTACTGCTCTTCCATGGCCTTGATAAAATCAAAGATACCCCAAAAATCCACAATGGTATGTATCATATCATAGATGTGATCTTGGGTATCACTTTACCATGTAGCTCACTAATGAGGGCCCCATTTGCACATCAAGCACAGAGAATTCCGACTAAATTTGTTTTATCTCCCACTTATCTGATTCATATCACCGTATATCATACTCACAGACATTCCAACAAGTATCTGGGTACTACATGGGGCAGAAGGATTTCCCTGTGAGTTGGTGGTTTGCTAGTTGATCTGAGCTCAATAATCATTACAAAATTAGAGCATGCTTGACAATTGTTGTGGTGTTGCTTCACAACAGTGATAGCTTCTGTGCAAGTCATATGACTGCATTTGTGCTTGCAGCCCAATCCAATATTCAAGATGGCTACTACAGTGCTGCTCATGTGATTTCTGATAAAATATTGATTGAAATAACTGACAATGGCTATATAGTGCTGTACCAATATTGACAAGTTGAAACTTGTCAACAACTTCATGCTGCCTGCATTGTTTCTTGTGGCAACACCTCTATGTAGCATCCAATGAAAACCATTGAGTGTTCACTGACTTCACTACAGGGATTCCAGCAGCTATCTGTGTTGTACCAGGCAAAATGAAGCATACTTACATGTTGGATCAATACTATATAGGTACTACCACCAGAATACATCTCCACATTCCTATTCTGTCCAACCTATGCCTATATCACCACATAAAGGGTCACTCAGCATTGTGTACTTTATGCCGATGCGCATGCCATCACTCAAAATCCAAAAGAAATTAATGGGTAGAGATTCAATGAGAACACTGGCTCAATAGGGGAAGTCACAAATACATGTTCCTGAGGCAGATGGCCTTGGAGCTCATGGAAGGAAACCACATTGTTTTTTCATTAGCAAGTGGCTACATCTGTTGAATGTTTGTAATGTGTATTCTGTCTGTTTATTTTTCCTGTCAAAAGTTCAAAGGTCATCATTGTATGCTTTCATTGTACTATTACCAAGATATTTGGACACTGACATTTCAATGCTTTGAAGCACTTAACAATGCATATACTATCTGGACTATTAGTGTGACTGTTTCCCAATTTCTGTTGGGTTCCTGCTCATTCCAATTGTGATAAGATCCTTCAGTACTGACATAATTGCTGTTGTATGCTTGGTTTGTGATGATAATACTAATCAAATTACTAAGTTATAATGGTAGACTCTATTCTGGTAACCATGTCAAGCATTATCAGGGTTTTCACAACATCTTACCACTTTGAATAGCTCAAAGAGATCTATTTCACTGAGATTCAAATCCCTATTGATAGGGTGATTAACTCTGTGATCAGATGTCTAAAATTGAAGCAGAGATATGACAGATGGGAACTCATACGGGGCAGAGAATGTAAGAAAATATGTTCATTGACATCATCACTCACACTTGGCAGTTCTCTTATGACATCTGTTTGATCATCAATGGTTGATCATAACATACGTATATGAAAGCCATCAATTTGCTGATTGTACTGTAGCAATCAGTGACTGATAAACACATCATAAGGCAACCTCCCTGTGCTCTAGATATGTCAGGCACACACCTAAATAATGAAACCATATGCCTGAGCCCAAGGGGCATTCATATGCAACTTAACTGTTCTGACACC